AGCCTTTAGAATAAGGGTAGGTGGCTGAAAGATGTAGGATAGTGCACTTTTCTGGCTTTATAGTTTAGCTCGAGAGATCTGCGAGAATGCTGTTTACTTGGGTTGGGAAAAGGGTAGGAATTAAGAAACATTATTAGAATTTGTGGGCTTTATTTTTGGAGGTAGCCATATGTGCTTATGTTTTGGGCGATTTCATGCCTCCTTGGAAGTTCTTTAAACTTTGCATTATGTTTGGGTTGAAGTTCTATGGGGCCGTTTCTTTCCAACTGATTCACTAATTTTGCCATGTTTCTCAGATCAATAAAAGAGGTGAAACTGTGGATGATAAGATTAAGAGACTAGATGCTGAACTGAGTAAATATAAGGAGCAGATAAAAAAGACTCGACCAGGTCCAGCTCAAGAGGCTATTAAAGCTCGAGCCATGAGGGTTCTCAAGCAAAAGCGAATGTAGGTTATTCTTCTTGAAGTCATTGTCATATTCAGCTTTCAGTTAGTATAATTGGCAAGACATTAGGAATAACGTTGGCAGGAAAGGTTTGTGAAAATGGGGAACAAGATGGCATATCATGTTAATTTAGTAGGATTGTGTTATTTTAGGTAAAAGAAATTGATCAAACGCCTTCGATCCTGAAGTTTTCTGAATTAATGCTAGTGTTATTTTATAGTTTATACACCATTTTCTGTACTAGAAGTATTTTGTATAAAATATAACTGTATTTGATGTCCATTATACCTTACATGTACTGCTGTAGTAGTATGAATTTTCTGCCACCACATCTTGTACAATCTGCTATGGTTTTGACAGGTACGAAGGGCAGCGTGACATGCTTTACAATCAGACCTTCAACCTTGATCAAGTTTCATTTGCTGCTGAGGGTATTAAAGATGCTCAACAAACGGTATGTCACTTTCATTTTCTTGAGTAGTTATTTCACCATTATGACCTCAGATTTAGTGGGCCTTTTGTTAAATGAAAACTTGGCTGCCCTAATTCATGTAATTTGATTGAGCTGTTTTTAATCATGGTAGCACAATAGCAATTTTTGGCTCATTGTTAAATTCCAATCATATATGACCTGTTTTCATAACCAATAAGACTGGAATTCAAGCTATTTTCTTTTAACATGATATTGTTGATGTTGTTAAGTGGTCAATTTGTATCTTCACGCCCTGCAGTATACTTATCAAATGTCATTGATGCAGCTGTTTAGTCAACTTCTGCTATGTCCTAAATTCTTTTATACTCATGCTGTCATCAGTTTGGTTTTAAGGAGAGATATGCCATGAGGGATTCTTACTCAGTGAAATATTGAACAAAACTTTGTCTTTTAAAAATTCTAACATTCTTTTCCCTCCAGATGTCAGCTTTGAAGTCAGCCAACAAGGAGCTGAAAGGAATGATGAAAACTGTGAAGATTCAAGACATAGATGTCTGTAATTTCTTTATATCTTTTATCATACATCTTGTTTTTAGTGTGTCTTGTACTGATAACTCCTGGTGCCATGTGATTCTTTTTATCTGTAGAACTTGCAAGATGAGATGATGGACTTGATGGATGTAAGTAATGAAATTCAAGAGACCTTGGGTAGAAGCTATAATGTGCCAGACGACATTGATGAGGA